GTTGGGTATTTCTGGGTCTTTTTCATGCTTTTGGCTTTGCATAGGAGTTTTCAGAGGAACGACACATTGCACCGTTTTCTGTGGTTGAGATCTGCACTCCCCTTGAGTTTGTTCTGGAATAATTTGGGGCAAATTCAAAACAGTTTGTGTTGCACAGGTTGTTTGGGATAATCCAGGGTCCTCTCAGAGTTATTTTCAGAAGAATACGCCATTCTCTTTGGGTATGTTTTACTGTGCTTTAAACATTATGTTTTAAATATGAGGCTGTGGTCTCCCTGAGGGAAGAGCTACCTGCCTTTAAAAAAAGTGCTTTTGGTAAATTCCTACCAGTATTCAGGTAGTGGCTGTAACAGACAACCGGCCTTTGTTTAAGTAAAGCAACAGTGCAGCCCTTCTGTAGTTTAATGCCAAGTATAGGAAGGATCTACTTTTTCTGAGTTTCAGCATGTTACCTCCTGGCCCAGGCTCCTGTCCAGATGTATAGACCAGCTTGTGAGAAACACAGCCATTATTTTGTCAGTTAACAGATATCATGCCTAGCTGCAGCAGGGTTGCAGAATGAAGACACTCAGGGATTCTAAGTGGACTGTGAAGCTGGCAGCATGAGGACAGCTTGTGGGGGTGGTGGTGGTGGTGGTGACAGTCCCTTCATTGAGCCCTGGAGTCCACTTGGGATTTAAGGTTAAGATTAGGGACTTTCCAGTTCAGGATTCCAGAAATGTATTTCTTTCTGAAGCGACCGGTGAAGCAAGGACTACTCCTGCTCTTAGGTGGCAGCTACATCTCCAGGACAGCTACTGTCACTGCTGTTGGTCCCTGTCCTCCCCATGAGCTGGGACTTGGGGGTTGTTCTTGGAGCAGTTTTTTCCCACTCTGCCTTCACTTTCTCTGCTACTGTTTCCGCTGTGGAATCTGCTTTTCTAACCCAACCACCTTCCCCTTTAGAGAGAGAATCTAGACATTTTTCTAAAGGTTTCACCAGCATTATTGGTGGTGGTAACTGTGGGTGCTCCTTCCTATGTAATTTCTTTTTTCATTTTTTTTTTTTTTTTTGTAGAGGGTAGGAAACTTTTAATGATTTGAAAAAAGACCTGAATGACAATGGATTATTATATGGGACTTCAGCCAGACACTGAGAGTAGAAGGAGCCAGCAGGCAACGTAATGCCATACTTCCTTGTGCGGCAGCTCAGGTGTCGGAGAGACCTGGGTCTGGGATCTGGCTCCTGTGCTGCCAGCCACACGGAGATGAAAGGTTTGAGAAGGAGAGGAACATAAGAGGCAGTTTTCACACCTGTTAGAGTGAGAGGACAACAGTATCTCCCCTATAGGCTTGTTATGAGGGTGAAAATGAGGAGCCTAGACCACTGTTTAAGTGAGAGGTCATGAAACAGTGAGTCCAGACCAACATTCACACTTTAGTTTGCCCATGAATCACCTAGTGATCTGGCTAGAAAGCAGATCCTGACTCAGTAGGTCTGGGGTGGGGCCTGAGACTTTGTACTTCTCTTCTTTTTTTCTCTTTTCTTTTCCCCTCCCTCCCTTCCTTCCTTCTTTCCTTCCTTACTCTTTCTCTTTTCTTTTTCTTTTATTTTCTTTCCTTTCTTTCTTTCTTTCTCTTTCTTTCTTTCTTTCTTTCTTTCTTTCTTTCTTTCTTTCTTTCTTTCTTTCTTTCTTTCTTTCTTTCCTTCACTTCAGGTTCATACTATATCTGGCATTTCTCCCCATGTTGTCCCTCCCCACCCTCCCCTCCCTCCCCACTCCCTGCTGTCTCTAACCTACCCCCTCCAGCTGCCCGCAGTGTGTGATGCTCCTCTCCCTGAGTCCACGTGTTCTCATTGTTCAACACCCAAAGTCTTACTCTGTCGCCCTGGCTGGAGTGCAGTGGTGTGATCTTGGCTCACTGCAACCCCACCTCCCGGGTTCAAGCAATTCTCCTGCCTCAGCCTCCTGAGGAGCTGGGATTACAGGTGTGTGCCACCACACTCAGCTAGTTTTTATATTTTTAGTAGATATGGGGTTTTACCACATTGACCAGGTTGGTCTCAAACTCCTGACCTCAAGTGATCCATTTGCCTCAGCCGGGCGAAGTGCTGGGATTACAGGTGTGAGCGACCTCACCTAGCCAGACTGTGCATTTTTAACCAGCTCCCTGGTGGCATAGATGAGGCTGACATGGGGCCCTCCCTTGGAGCCATGGGGTCTTAGATACTTCACCCCACGCCTGATAGACAGGTAGTGTACACACAGTAGATAGAGCTGCTATAAGTACTGCTGTTACCTCTATGTTAAGATCAATAGAAATCTAGTCCTCAGATTTTTCATTCCTCTTTGGGCTGCTCTTAACAGGTGAAGCACAGGTAAGCCACCCTCTTCTACTCATAGAAGGTCTTGCTCTGTCAGCCAGGCTGGAGAGCAGTGGCATGATCTTGGCTCACTGCAACCTCAACCTCCTGGGTTCAAGTGATTCTCCTGCCTCAGCTTCCAGAGTAGCTGGATTACAGATGAATGCCACCATGCTAGGCTAATTTTTGTATTTTTAGTAGATATGAGGTTTTATCATGTTAACCAGGCAGGTCTTGAACTCCTGGCCTCAAGTGATCCTCCCAAAGCACTGGGATTATAGGCATAAGCTAACATGCCTAGCCTGCATTTCTGGTGTTCTCAGAAGGGGAGGGTCTGGAACATCCCGGTAAACATGGCTGGAGAATATAGTATTACCCACTGAACACAGAGATATTAGTGATTCTTGGGATGCAAATTGTGACTGTGTTTTTTGATAGGTTCCTTAAATTAAATAGTTTTTAAAAAAATCAGAAGTCATTTGAAAGGAAGGAATCCCATCTTTGCTCTCTGTGTGAAGATGCAGTTAAAGTGCCCCAGAAGGAGGCAAATGACTGTAACTGATGATAAACATCTATAAAGAGAGAAATGCTAGGGAGGTTTGGGGAAGGGGGAGAGAACAACGTTTCTAACCGTGATAGAGTCAGTAGTAGTAGACTAACTTCCTGGTAAAAACAATAAAAGCTGGAAAACATGCACAATAAACTGTTTGAAGTTATTGAAATGCAATGAACATTGGCAGGACTAAACGTGAGGCAGTCCTCAAGAGGAAGGATCCACTGTGGGGAATCAGCCTCTTTCCTTGATCTTTTTTTTTTAAATATGTATTTTATTGCATTTTAGGTTCTGGGGTACATGTAGAGAACTTGCAAGGTTGTTGCATAGGTACATATATGGCAATGTGGTTTGCTGCCTCCATCCCTGTCACCTATACCTGGCATTTCTCCCATGCTATCCCTCCCCAACTCCCCACCCCCCACTGTCCCTCCTCTAGTCCCTGCCCACAGGCCCCAGTGTGTGATGCTCCCCTCCCTGTGTCCGTATGTTCTGATTGTTCAACACCCACCTGTGAGTGAGAACATGCAGTGCTTGATTCTCTGTTCCTGTGTCAGTTTGCTGAGAATGATGGTTTCCAGGTTCATCTATGACCCTGCAGAGGACACGAACTCATTTTTTTTCATGGCTGCATAGTATTCCATGGTGTATATGTGCCATGTTTTCCCTGTCCATCCTATCATCGATGGGCATTTGGGTTGGTTCCAAGTCTTTGCTATTGTAAACAGTGCCGCAATGAACATTCGTATGCATGTGTCCTTATAATAGAACAATTTATAATCCTTTGGATATATACCCAGTAATGGGAATACTGGGTCAAATGGAATTTCTGTTTCTAGGTCCTTGAGGAATCGCCACGCTGTCTTCCACAATGGTTGAACTAATTTACACTCCTACCAACAGAGTAAAAGTGTTCCTATTTCTCCACATCCTTTTCAGCATCTGTTGTCTGCAGATTTTTTGATGATTGCCATTGTAACTGGTGTGAGATGGTATCTCAGTGTGGTTTTGATTAGCATTTCTCTAATGACCATTGATGTTGAGCATTTTTTCATATTTTTGTTGGCCTCATATTTGTCTTCTTTTGAGACGTGCCTGTTCATATCCTTTGCCCACTTTTGAATGGGTTTCTTTTTTTTTTTCTGGTAAATCTGTTTTAATTCTTTGTAGATTTTGGATATAAGTCCTTTGTCAGATGGGTAGACTGCAAAAATTTTTTTCCCATTCTGTTGGTTGCCAGTTCACTCTAATGATGGTTTCCTTTGCTGTGCAGAAGCTGTGGGCTTTGATTAGGTCCCATTTGTCTATTTTGGCTTTTGTTGCCAATGCATTTGGTGTTTTAGTCATGAAATCCTTGCCTATGCCTATGTCCTGAATGGTTTTGCTTAGTTTTTCTTCTAGGATTTTTATGGTGCTAGGTCTTATGTTTAAGTCTTTAATCCATCTGAAATTAATTTTAGTGTAAGGTGTCACTAAAACGATGTAATTTCTTAAGTTGGGAATTGCCTGTTTAAAATATTCACCGTTTCACCTCTCTCTCTGCACCAGGATTTAATAGTCTTCTCCCTAGTGTGTCTCCATAAATGGCTCTGTGCATCAATTAGGGCCGTTTCATAAATAAGTTTAAAAAGAATCATGCCCTCTGTTATTTAGCTTTGTAACAAAACTTGAGGAATATAGACATGGAATTGAAATTAATGATATGTGTATTCAGTATAGTTGGTATTTTGAATTTATATCTTAAACTGTTTTTATTCACTCTTAGTAGTATAGATCATCCATAGTTTTTTTAAAAATATAAAAATATATGTTGGAAATTTAATTGAGCTCTTACCTTTTGTGTATCATCCAATAAAATGATTATATTACCAAAAACCCTCGTTGTATTTTTTTCCTGTATATACTTGGCATACTAAAATGGTTAACCTCTCTCTTTTTGACATAAAACAAACAGTGCATAGTCCTTTAAGGAACAGATTATAGGATCTAACAGTTTAATCCTTCACATATAACATTAAATGCATATTAATTAATCTAATGCTGAATTTGACTTGTGTGTTATCCCTGCTTAAGAGAAAATTAATACCCAAATCTATCTTTCAGGCAGTAACAGAGAAGAATTTTGAAACAAAAGATTTTCGAGCCTCTCTAGAAAACGGTGTTCTGCTGTGTGAGTAAGTATTTAAAATATTTTAAAAATACTTCAAAGGCAAAAATGTGTGTGTGTGTGTGTGTGTGTGTGTGTGTGTGTGTGTGTGTGTGTGTGTTTGAGGGGGGTGATGAGGGGTTTGGCTCCTCCCAAGGCCACCATAGTCACAGAAATGTGTTCTTGCTCACAGGTGAGATTTGATCCCTGCAAATTGATACCTCACAGTAGGAGACAGTAGGAAGAAGGGGTTATCAGTCTCTCTGTAGCTACAGATAGCACTGGTAACATATGTATTATTTTTAATTAGTAAACAAGAAAGATTCCATTACATGGTGGGCCAGTAGGGGGTGGGTGGTTGATAAGGAAGCCTTACAACATTTTACCATTGATCTCTTAGTCTGAATAATCTAATGGGTAGAACTGCCTGGTTTAGAACTTAATACACAAAGTCTTTTCTTCATCAATCAATCATGATGACTGGAGTGGTAGATTTTTATTTTTAGCTTTAAGTGAAGTCATTATCAAAATCAATTTAAGGACCATTCATTCAATTAATGGATACCATTGAGAACCATACTCTACACTTTGCTTACAAAGAAGTAAAATAGTCTAGTAACCATGAATGATGGTATAAGACCTACATTGCATCTGTAGTGTGATATTTTGTTCCCCAATGGATGCATTGTACAGTTAGCCAAGTTTGCCACCTTTGGGAAGAAGGGAAAGGCAGGCCTATGGGGCATAACGGTGAAATCCTGGGTGAAGGTAGAAGTTGCAGAAGTGAGCAAATAAATTCTAAGAATGTACTTAATTTCTCACCCACATTTTTGAAAGCACTTAATTATTTCAATCTAGACACTTATTGCACAGGCATTTATGCTATCTGTCCACATTTAAGCAGTGAGAATGTATGCACTAGTACTTAGAGATTTTTTTAAATCCTTTTGAAGGAGTTGTTTGCAGGAAAGGTCTGGAATCAAAGGGCCTAGGTTAGATTTCTTGCTCCATTACTTTTGGATCTTTGAATAAGTCGCTTCACATCTTTGAACAATTGACCAAGTGACTTAACATTTGAACCTATTTTCTCACCTGTAAAGTGGAGATCAAGGTACTTGATATGCCTAATTCACAGGGTTGCTGAGTTCAACAGTATGTATACATATTAAGGTTTTTATAAACTATCAAACTTGGTATTAATACAAGTTGTTGCTAGAGGATGGGCATGTAAATAACAGTATCTTGTCAGTGCTGTTAGCAGGTGTTCAAACTTCTTTGTCTTAGGGTGATATTATTAATTTGTTCCATATGAAGTTGCTGGTACTTAACCACTTGTGACTGACTGAAATGTCAGTTTCATATGGTTTCACCTAATGTATAGCAGGACAGACACGTGAATAAGGGTCAGGAATAAAGTTTAAAGTGTGTTTCTTGTCATCTTCCAGTGTCATATTCATGGGAATATGAATAGTGTTTAAATTAGTTTGACAGTGAGTCAAATAGTGTTTAAACTAGTGTAAGTAGACCATGTAGCGCAATTGGTCACTAATGGGAAGTTATTTTCTCTTAATTTGGAAACTGTATGATTGAAATGTATTCTAGTAATGTTTAGAAGATGGAGGGGAAACAGTGCCTATTAGAAAGAGGCATGTGACCTGCAAACTACCTTAGCTATTATTTGATGTTTGCAGTAAAGAAAAGCCATCAACCATACACCCCACAAGTTTGAATAAGAATTGGGTAGGTTTTATAGGAAGTTTGCCTATGAAGCACAGGGTTTCTTTTTAGATTTACAAAAGCATGTATCTCAAATACGTGATCTTTTCAAATAAGTCACTTTGCAGGTTATATATTTCTAGTAATGAACTCATGTTCTTAATGTTTTAGGCATCCCACTTTGGGGGCATTGAGCCCATAAATAGGTCATTAAACATGTTTGATAGTGATACCCAGTTTTTTATTTAAAATGCAACTTATGCACCAGGCTGGGCTCTGAATGATTGGAAGTGATTTCCGAAAGCTATACCGAGCCTGAAAAGATCAGCATAGTGTGACCAGGGAAGATATTCAGAGTTGATGAAAAGCTATTGTGAGCACAGGCAGTACAGGTTAGAATAAATATGTAATTTCTACCTTAATGGCAACAGCAAACATTTGGATGAATGTTTAGAGTTATATATATATATATATATTTTTTTTTATAAAAGAGTCACTTTAATTCTCAGACTTCCAAAGCTCATTCTAATACTGTTTTCTAATTGGAATAACACCAGTTGAGAGTTTTGCGCATTACCACATAAGTCTAATCAATTTCTTAGTACCCAGTATTCTTTAATGTTTCCCAAAAGTAGCTTAGGTAAATCTTAAGCCATGGTAATCAGCAATTGTAATTTACTGTGGGACACCGAAGTACTCCATAATATCTTTACTAAAAAAATCTTTCTCTAAATTGTGAATCACATTGTTTATTGTCCCTGGTTAATGATGACACATTCATCTAAAAACTGTGGTGTTAACAAATGAAAAGTCCAGATAAGTAGATTTCATGTGAAATCTGTAATTGAGGAAAGCCCGGCTGGTTGCTCTATGAAATGGTTAAGCAGGCACCGTTGTTTGTGGCCTTATCCACCTGCGTTTTATATATAATGCCTGAGAGGAAAACAAGGTCAGCTGTTTAGAGGTCTGGTATTACAAGCTCTGACTTTTTAATTAATGCTAACTATAGTAAACTATTTGTCTTTCAGGATGTTTTACCCACTACAGAGCCCCAAGTGTTAGCTGAAATATGATTGGGATATTTTTAAAACCTGAATTCATTTTCATACAGGATAAGGCTGACTTCTATGTGGCTCACTGCCAGAATCATATTTCTTGTGAAATATAGGTTCTGCTTGTTGCCTATTAGAAGCCTCTAGGCATTCTCATTTATTACCAGCATTAAAGAGTTTTCTTAATATTTCATTCAGTAATTTCAGCAGTTTTTAAAAAATCCATTAGTAGTACTCTTTCCTTTTGAACTGGTGTTCTGAAATATCAAAGTGAAAAGTTCAAATAACTTATTATAGCTTTCACTCAATTGGAAGTGTACTGACATTTCAGATACTCTAAAGTGGGGATAAAGTGTGCACTGAGGTTTCAGACAAGATATACATTTGAGTAATGAGGATGGTTATGTGTGTTCATTGCCTTTTAATCTGACTGACTAATGAAGTTAGTATCTTTCTGTCATTTTAGTGTCATTTAGTTTGACTGTGGGATCTTGTGAGTTGAGGGCTAAAAATACTCCCTTGATGAAAGTATATGGTTGTCTCTCTTGGCTTTCCTAAACAGTGAGATGGGAACACTGTCTGATATTTTGACTTTTCTAATTAATAAAAGGATTGACATGTGTGTATAAGATGATTTTAGGTCCTTGTTATAATGTACTATGAATTTTATTAGTAGCGTTCATTAATCTGTCTTCTATCTTCCGTATTTCTTGGTGTTCATGTGGACTGCCTTACGTATATTTTAAAAATATACGACAGTGCAAGACTCCATCTCAAAAAAAATACGTAAAAGATGTGTCACTTCGTCACTGTCCATGATCTTGTTTTACCCTGGGTTCTAGCAGAATTACTCCTCTTCTCTAACCATACTTGGTTGAGACGTAAACAGCTGATGATATCAGTAATTTCCCAGTTACTCATCTTATGATGGCAATCTCGGAAATATTCAAATGAAAACACTCCCTTTTTTCTCTGATGAAGAGAGATTTGCTCGATGATAGTCTGATTGGGTGTGTCACTGATTAGTCAGTCTATACCTCCCATCCCTGGAATGATCCCAGGTCTCTGCCACAGTCAGCCATGCATCAGAAGTTGATGCCTTTTTGAACACATGGCTCACATTAAGAACACTGTCACCAGGTCTTTTCCCTTTCTTGCAGCTTGGAAAGACCAGGAGCAAGATGTTCACCCCTATCGGTATGAGAGATCCTGTTTCTATTTGTATTATCCATGCGACCACAACTATCTGCCTAAAAATACTGTAATATTTTATTAAAGATATATAACATATATTCAGTGATATATATATATATATACACACATATATATATACATATATATTTATTGTTTTTTTTACGAACACTACTGTTTACTGTGGGACACTCAGATGATCATTTTAAGGCATTGGGTAAGTTAGAGAACGTTGTCGCTTGTCATTCCTGCCAAGAGAACTCTATCTTTTTGCTGGAGTTGGAGATCCCCACCCACACATAGAGTGCTGGTGATATGGATAGGTCCCTGGGGCTTCTGCTCAGTGCTTCATGGGAAACCCTGAGGCTTTCAAGTAGTGGGAAAGGCCTTTTTCCTTAGAGGTGTTTCTGGTTTGAATTCCCTAAGGAGGACAGTTGCTTACATTCAGTGCTCCAGCATGCCATTGCTATTTATTTACGCTGATCTGTTTTTATAGCCTTTTGAAATTTTGTGAAAACTTTTTCATTACTATCAAGTAATATAAGCCTTGAAGTTTCCATGTTACATGATAGTCCAGCAATAGGCAAACAATGGTGCAAGGGTTCAAGTTCATAAAAATGAATGTAAAAATGTTAGTGTGCTTTCTCTTTGTGGCAGTATTTTATGGTTGAGATCTGCATGCCTTCTGTTTAAGCATCACGGTTCATTTCACCTGTGATGTAATACCTATACCTAGCAAAAACATGACTTTTTTTTTTTTTTCAAAGAAAGAGTATATCAAGTTAAAAGTCAGCTTGGCAAATATCAACTTAAAAATTCACTTCAGTTATGATAGACACACTCTAAAGACTCATTTCAAGTTTTGCAGAAGTTTTTTTTTTTTTTTTTTCTCAAATATTGTGGCCTCAAAGTTGAAGGTTGAAATCACGGAGAGAGACTGATACATCACTCTCATTTACCTGAAGGATTGAGAGGAATTTAGTAACATTACTTCATAGTTAGATAGTACAGGAAGCCAGATTCCTTTTGCTTTCTGTTGTTTTTGTTTTGAAGACTTTTTAATAGAACA